CTCTCCCTCTGGGAGCAGCCCGGTTGGTGACCCTTGCTAGGACGCTGTCGGACGTATGGAGCCCCCGATTGTACTATGAGCAAGGACGGGGGCATAATACGTAGACAACGCGGAACGGAACCCACGAGGAGGCGACCCAGGGGAGTCGACGATGTGGTGAGTTAGCCGTCATAATAAATATGTAAACTATCTTGTGTTTATTATTGTGTGTATGGTTCTTTGCCTCAATATGCTTGTTGTGGTACTATGGGGTTGCTGTGCTTGTCATGTATAATTACGGCGGAAGCCAGCGGTGGCTCATGTAGGGATCCGTGTTTGGTGCACGGCGGCTAGGATCCCCATGGTCCCCGGGGGGATAGGTCCGCCTCACCTGCGAGGGTGCGCAGGTGAGGCGTCGTGGTCTCGATGGGGCTCTGGGGCCCGAAGGGTCTCCGGAGTGTGCGGTTGAGCGCTCGATACACCGGTGCTGTCGCTACGGCAGGGTGCAAGCCGCGACATGGTGCATCGGAGCCGTGAGAAACGGACCCGCATGTTCCCGAATTAAGACCTGGGAACATGGCCGGGGACGGCCCCACTGATGTGCTCCCGACCCATCGAGAGCACCTTGGTTGGTGAACCCAGGAAAGGGGCCTCTGAGGGATTCCTCCTCGGAGGAGCACCCACCCCTTTTCTTTTGTACAGGTAAGACGGTGGATACAGCGGTACCTAACCGGGGTGCGAACTGGCGGGGAAGGAGTGGGTTTTTAGTCCGGCAGGACTGTGGCAACCTGCCAACTAGAAACCCATTGGGCCCAAGACTCCTTCCCTGGGACCAGGATGCTCGGGAAGTAGCGACTGGGCGATACCGAGGGGACTCGAGCACACTCGCCGCGGGTCCCTTCCGATGATGCCCCATGTGTGGTGAGGGCTAGGTAGGGCCCAGCTTCCTGTCCCAACGGTGGGTGGAAGGAAGTATGCGGGAGAGAGCCGTCGTCAGCGTGCCGGTAAGGAGTCCGGATGCCACTCGTGAGGGAGCACGAGTTAGTACGACGCCATGAGGGATAGTGCTCGGGCACGACGCGTGTGTTGCGCTGGGTCCACACTAGGCTAGCCGATCCTCTGCGGAGAGGATAAGTGTGGATTGCTCCAGAAGAGGAGTTCGAGCCGCCTCGTTGGAACCCAGTCAATACCCACCAGGCACCTACCTGTATTCAGCGCCTCTAAAAGGCAATTCACCAACCAGCACCGATCCCTTTGGATATTACGTTATCGGCTCGCAAAGAATCAGGTAATCGCGCTGTTGGATGAAAAGGTTAATTCGGGAATGTCGGCGTTGACCCCTGGTTGCCACAATCTCAAACCCGGGACTGGGTTAGTACGCTCGATCAGTGGAGTGTGGTTTCAGTGCCCTCCCTGAATCCTTCGAACCTTTGCCTCACGGCGTATTGCGTTTGTCTCCTTTTCTTACTAAGTCCATTTAAGTACTTGAATTCTACTGGATAAGTTCAATGGTAAGCAAGGAGCTTATCAGTCACCCTGTTTATTACATTTTTGCATTTCTTCTTTCGTATTCCGTTCACTTTTGTTGGTCCCTCGCTTTTATTTCGCTTGCGCTGTTCCATGGTAGCGTGTTCTCACGCAAATCCGATCGATAACGACACGCTGAGCTGTTTCCCAAGCTCGCGCGCCGATCGATCAGTTGGTGTGCGTGCGAACGGCATCGTTTCCACGTCGCGCCATGGGAAAGCGGAGAAATAGTATGGCACCAGACAAATTCCCATGCCACGTCGACTTGAGAAAGGTCGAGAGTGAAGAATATTACCTCATGCCTTCACATTCGTCTTCATTAGCAGTTATTGCTGTGCTATTGAAGCGACGATTATGGACCAAGTATTCCGATACGATCTTACAAGGGCAATTCAACGCCTCCAGAGAAGTATCGACTCGACGGATCGTTCAATTCTTGAAGATCTGCAAGTCGATGGCGATCCGGAGGAGCTGAGTGCTCAAGTCAAAACTCGTGTCAAAGCCTTAACCATGGCTCATACTACGTTAGTCCGCGATCTGGACCTGACCATCCAAACGTGGGAGTCAGCGATTCAGCATGCCGTCTCTTTGGATGATGAGGAGTCGCGCCATGCCCTCGTTCGTGACTACCAAACCCACTGGGCGGCCAGTGGAGGAGAAGCGGCCGAGGACGCGGCGAGAAACCTCATCACTCAACTTGACGTGATGATGCATTCGCTGTCGCAGGCTAATAGCAACTATAATAATGTCTGGTCTACTCCCGCTCCAGTAACATCATCTGTGGGAGCCAGAGTTATTACGTCAATTTCTAAGCGTAGACTCCAGCACCAAGGTGAGGAAACTCCCTTGAGGCATGGAGACTGCACAGGAAATAATAATACGTCACAAATACCCGCACCATCAACCCAGGAACTTCCTGGCTGTATGACCGTGCAGGGCAACCCTATTAGTACGCCTGAACAAATAATTCGTCTACCAAAGTTTGATCTTCCCGTGTTTACCGGAGACATTGCCAAGTTCGCGGAGTTCTGGGATATCTTTGACTCTGCGGTTCACTCGAACCGTACCTTACCACCCACAGTCAAATTCCATTATCTCAGGACCTCGTTGAAGGACGAAGCATTGTCTATGGTAGCCGGGTACGAGATTACGGATGCTAACTACGAGTTGGCAATTAATACGTTGCGAGAGACATACTTTCGCCCAGAATTTATTCGTATGCAGCTGAGTATCCGACTGCAACACCTCAAGCCGGCAACCACTTCAGCTCTCAGTCAACGTATTACGTTAGCGCAAGTTAAGTCGTTATGGCTTCAACTGAAGAAGCTCGGCGAGCATGATCAGAGTATTTTCGTCATGTGCATAATACGCGAAAAATTTCCGCCTGAAGACATTGAAATGTGTCGGCCAAGCGCAGGCTAATGACACGGTAGCATGGACAGTTCCCCGTCTCCTCGATGCACTTGATCGAGCGAATCAGGACCTTCGAGATGATCGAGGACTCCGCACCAAATAAGGCGTCAGCATCGCACGCTTTGGCAACACGTACTACGTCACGGTCCTCCTCTCGTGGATCGTCCCCACCTACTACGCATAGGAGGCGACGTCATAGCCCACAAAGTCCATCTCCTGTGCGTTCACGTCGGTCTAATCCGGACTTTGGTAAGTCGTCAAGGCATTTACAATCTCCGTGTGCCACAGTAGTGCGTCGTTGAAGGAAAGGAAGAATATTGCAATCAAACGGCTGGCTTTCAAAGTGCTTTGCGCAAAGCACCAATGGTGCAAGACTGAGATGCATCCCCCTGCTCGTTCTGCGGAGGGAGACATCACAGGACGATCTGTCGTGAAGCAGCAAAGCACTCCTATCGCACAGCGCGCACGAGGTCATCTAGCCGCTCGTCTATGTCGGTTAGCCCGAGTAGAGGAAATTTTCGATCATTTCGTCCCCCAACAGGACGAGCAAGATCACCGCGACGAGAGTCTTCTCCGCAGTCTTACTTCAATATAGACGCGGTTCACAAACGAACACACGTCGTCGTGCGATTCTCAAAGTGCTACTTCCTTCCAGCCCTGTGCGATGGAGGCACCTCAATGAAGTGATTTTCGTGGGAGATCTCGTGGACACCGATAACGACAGCTGTCCATCCGACTCTGTCAACCACTGTTCGGTTTCACGACATCTCAATCCGCTATCTGGAAGACCCTCGTCTGATGGTAGTTACTGCACGAACATATAATCGTAATACGTCGAAGATGGAAGTTCGTTGCACTGCTCCTCGACAGCGGTGCACAACACAGTTTTATCAAGGAAGATATTGCGCATAAGCTCGGACTGGCCTTCAAAGATCCGCAGCCAGTCACGACAAAAAGTTTCGGGGGACACACTACCACCGAAACTTCCTACACTGTTTCACTTACTCTTCGAGATCAGGCAGACGCAGAGATGCGCCTAATCCTGACCACTCGAAAAGTTATTACGTCCGTTCGAGCAAATGCTCATGTTTCACGTCGAAACATCAAATTACTACGCCATTCCAATAAGTCTATGGCCACAGGAGACATCGAGATTGACGTTCTCATTGGCATAGATCATTATTGGAAGATTGTCGACTTGAGCAAAACTCAAAGGTTGTCATCAGGACTTACCTTAGTGCATACGCGCTTCGGTCCTGTGACGTACGGATTGAAAGAGCCTCGCGACAAACGCACGTATTCCAAGTCCCTATCGGTATGCGGTTTGGAATCGCGTTCGGAACAGGACGGTCCCGACCCGGACGTTAGACAACTATGGGAGCTTGAGTTCATCGGCATCACAGACAGCACTACTCCACGGCAGGATGAGGAAATCAATGCCGAAGTAGTTAAGCGCTACTACGACACTGTGCAGGTCATAGATGGGACTATTCATGTGCAGTTCCCGTGGAAGAAAGATCATCCACGATTAGCGGATAATAAATCCCTTGCACTGAAGCGTCTCGAATATCAGTATAGTGCACTCCACAACCAACCAGAATTGTGGAAACAATATTGCGCCACGTTCGAGAAACAAGAGAAATCCGGCATTATTGAAGAGGTAGCGGAATTCGACTTTGATGGACCGCAGGTGTACTACATGCCACACCAAGCAGTCCTCAAGGCCGATAGTACAACTACCGCAGTAAGGATTGTCTTTGATGCGTCCAGTCATCGAAAGGGCTTTCCCGAGCCTTAACGACTGCTTGCATCAAGGACCCACACTGCTGCCAGACCTTGCTGGTGCATTACTACGTTCCCGACTTGTCACGATACCTCATCACTGGTGATGTGGAAAAAGCATTTCACCAGATCCGTCTCCAAAAAGATCAGCGAGACGCGACGAGGTTTTTGTGGCTAAAGGATACTTCGTGTCCACCTAGCATGGACAACTTACGTATTTTTCGATTCACGCGTGTAGTATTCGGCATTAATGTTTCACCATTTCTGCTGAACATGTCATCAAATACGCGCTTGAACGAGATCAATCTAATACGTTAAGGGAAGAGGTGCTTGCAACACCTATGTGGATAATGTGCTCATCGGTGCTGACAGCACCGAGGAGTGCATTGAGAAGCAGAGGCAATGCAAGCAAACCTTCCACGTATGGGCATGAACCTTAGGGAATTCATGTCCAATAATACGTACGTTATGGAACACATTCCAGCTCAAGATCGTATGAAAACCATGTCTAATACGGTAAAATTACTCGGATTGAAGTGGAATCCTACCAAGGATACTATTCACATCCGAGTAAATCTAGCAACCTACTCCGCCACAACGAAACGCATGGTTCTTCAAGCGTTAGCGTCTAATTTTGACCCCTTAGGATATCTTAGCTCCGTATTCGTCCAGGCCAAGATCTTCATTCAAGATCTTTGGAAAGACAAGTACGCCTGGGATACACCATTCAACAAGGATTACTGCTAGATGGCAGGAGATCGTGATCGGATTGATGGGTACACCTGTACCTGCCCAGGTTCATCATTACACCGATGAACAGGCTGAACACGAACTCTTGCTATTTGCGGACGCATCCCAGCGAATGTATTCCGTCGTAGCTTACTTATTGAGTAGAGCTCCCAATGTATATACACAATCTCACCTCCTTATGGCGAAGACGAGGTTAGCACCGGTCAAAGAGACCACGATACCTCGTCTTGAATTGATGGCTTGCGATATAGCTGTATCGCTAGCTCAATTCCTCTTAAGGAGCTTAAAGATTGTATTCAGTGCAGTTCGATTCTTCTCGGACTCGCATATTGCGCTTTATTGGATTCCACGCGGATCGCCTACGAAAAACGTTTGTCGACAATCGCGTCAAACGTATCCGTATGGGTTCTTGATGAAATCGCTTCCACGAACATCAGAGCTGAGTTCTTATTACGTTTCGTCAGAATCCAATCCAGCGGATTGTGCTACGAGAGGTCTCTCAGCACGAGAGATAGCTAGCCACATCTGGTGGACGGACCTCCATATGTCCGTGACTGTCCTACGACATGGCCACACGCAGCGATGGATTTCACCATTCAGCCTTGTTCGACCCCGGAAATGGAGGCCGAATTCAAGGTTGTTTCATTTTCTGCTTCAACAAGATCATCGCTCTGTGCTTCCATTTCATAGGACAAATGATTACTACGCCTTAATACGTTATACGGCGCTCGTTCTCAAGTTCCTTCGGAGACATGTTTATGAGCGGGTATCCAGCTCAAGTAGAGCCCGTCTCGATCTATCACTTCCACTAGCGGAAGTATCTGCTACTTCGCGAATTGATGGTATGGACGTGAGAGCAGCAGAGCTCATACTCCTCCGCGAACATCAACGTGAGTGTGCCACTCAGTTGCGCTTACGTCCTACAAAGAAAAATACTACATACATCGATTCTAACGGGATCATACGAGTTAGCCACTCGAATGCAGAATGCTGACGTAGTATATTCGGCCAAGAATCCCATTCTTCTTGCGCCCGACCATTCGCTAACTACGATGATCATTATGAGATGTCACCAGATTCTATTCCATACTGGAGTAGAACACGTTGTTAGTGTATTGCGGAACAAGTACTTCATTCCACGTATCCGCCACAAAGTTCGCACGGCGATCAGGCGATGCGTGCAATGCAAGAGACATCAAGGGTTTCCTTATAAATACCCTAATTCACCGGACCTCCCTCTTGAAAGAGTCACGCAAAGCCGACCCTTTCAACGGATCGGTCTAGACTATTTCGGACCTAATCACTCCTTGTTACTACGTCAGAAACTCGTAAAGCCTGGGTATGTTTGTTCACATGCATGACTACAAGAGCTTTACACCTTGGAGTTGGTGCACAACAACTCCGCTACAGAGTTTCTATTAGCGTTTCGCAGATTCATGGCTAGAAGAGGCACACCTGACTTCATTGTCAGTGACAATGCCCCTACCTTCAAGTTAGGTAAGGAAATTCTGGCCAACGAACTATTGCAGTTCGAACATGATTCTGCAGTTCGTCAATTCACCAACCAAAACGCACTCACATGGAACTTCATCACCCCATTCTCACCTTGGAAAGGTGGGGTTTTATGAACGTCTTAGTCGGTTGGTGAAACGTGCCTTGAAGAAAGACCGTTCAACGTAATACGTTAGATATTCGCGCCTTCGAGACTCTACTTTTAGAGATCGAAGCACGCTGAATACGAGGCCGTTAACATCTGTCAACACGGAGACAGCTAATGAGATATCTGCCCTACGGCCGATAGATCCTCATCAGCCCACATTACCAATTTGGTCACTTTTTGTCCCCGTTGTACGAAAGCGCTCCGGACTATCCAATATTACGTCCGAGCGATTCAGAGATTAAACAGTCCCTGAAAGCTCATCATGAGCAGCTCATTACTACGTTAGACTATTTCTTGGTCCTTGTGGCGAAAAGACTACCTCCAGGCGTTGGCGGAACGCACCAAAGCGCACCCAAAAAAGCGCGAAAGTCCGTTCATGGCCCAATCTTGGAGAAGTAGTACTCATCGCACAGGAGAATGTTCCTCGTGTGATGTGGCCTTTAGCCATCATCACGAGACTTGAATACGTCAAGGGACGGAGCACTTCGATCTGTACAAGTCAAAACAGGGAAAAGTCCTTTACAGATCGCTCAATCAATCCAACTTATTCCGCTGGAGCTCCACGCCTGCTCATTCGGCGGCGTAGAGGAAGAAGCCCAGTGGAGGAAGTCGCAAAGACTTGCTACTTCATCGACACCTCCACCGAGGATTCAACCACCGCGTGCCGTCAAGAGAGCACTTTCACGATGAGTCTATTCTCCATCAACTTTAGCATTATCGCTGTTTAGTTTCACTTCCTAGTTGTAGTCAAAAACTAATCAATCACTTCGAATATAATTCTCGTCTCTAGTTCAGTGTAGTTTAGTATAACAATAACTTAATAAGCTCTATCCTCATCGTCTCTCCGTTATTAGCGTTTCCTGACTGCTATTCCCTTTCCCATCGATGAATAGTACTAAAAGAATTAGCCCCTTCTTATTTCGTTAGAGGTTCTTGACCTGTCGTTAAAGGTGTGTTCTAAGACCCGCATCGACAGTGCTCCGGTTGTCGCCGCAGGACCCGTACGATCAACGCATGGGATTTCGCTGCGTAGGCAACCGTGACATTATCGATCGATATGGTCATTTGACTGCCATCGCGCAGATTAGCCTGTTATTCTCTGTATTCGCTGCTATGGCAAGAAAAACACGCCGATCTAGAAGGATGGTGAGAAAGGATGATTCTCTAGCTACATCCGAGGACACATCCACTGCTGCAGAGCATACTACGATTCAGGAGGTAGAGTCTCTTAACAGTGCCTTTTCCACTCTTCGCGGTATTTCCTCTAATGTTTCACCTGCCCTTATGAAGGCCCCCGACCGTGCAGAGCTGGCACACGAATCCGACGCGCCACATGCGCAAAATGTCGTGGACCTTCAGCATGTCGAGGACCCACATGAGGAAGGCAGAGCATCGGATGCTGCCGTAGAAGTCATGGAAGTGGATAATACGTCCGAGGTAACCGCCTCTGTACCTTCGGGTGCATGCGCTGCCCCACAGCAGCTGCAGAAGGCGTCGTTTACCAATGTCCGGGGAAGTGCTAGTAGCTCTCCGCGCTCTGAATCTCCGGATCGGGAGCCTTTGGCCCTGGCGAATGCTGACTCACAGGACGGTGAGCAGCTAGTCTCGGCTATTCCATCTTCGGTAGAGTTGGATGCGAGTGCGCCAGTCGAGCTCACGTACCCAGACACTTGCCGAATACAAGGACGTACTACGTAATCTAGCAGCAGCGATGCGCCGTGCTCACGATGAACATTGCGAGAACGTTGAGCAATTGCGCCTCCGCTACACTACTGCGCCACATGGGCAGACACAGAACGCACCACTAAGTCCGAATCTAACGGCACAGGACGTGTGTCCCTAACCACCAGTGTCGCCTGCTACTACGTTTCTTGTTAACCTCAACACAGTTGAAGAATTAACTGCCTCCAGAATGTGCTTTGATTCTGTCACGAACCTCACCGCGTGAAGGCGAGAGCCACTTCCGGTTCGTGTGAAAATTACATCGATGGTTGTTCGCTTGACTCTATGGTTATCATTGTTAATTCTTACAGGTTATTACGCTCGACCACTGATAACGCTGTTCAGTTAATGGGACAGCTCGGATTAGCCATGCAGCATGAGTACCCTTGGCGCACAGTTTTGTTGTCCTCATATGGATGGAGTATCGGAGCTTACTCATAGCTTAACGGCTATCACGGTCCATAGGAATATCTTGCAGAAGAAATTCTTCCTCGCGTATTCGGTAGACAATTCGGTCGGGCAAGCGGATCATATTGCGTTTCGAGGCGCTATGTGGAAACAAAACATCAGCGCCCCTCCCCTTCAACAACTTGTTAAGCGAGTACAAACGGCTGTGCTAGACATCTCACGCGATTCATTCGCTCTCTGGAAGCTCTTCAGCTAGGCCAGTTGGCCACGCTGGAGGAAGGCGATCCAGACGCGAGAAATCTCGTAGCGGAGTATAATGCAGAGCCGCCAAGCGAGTTCCTTGCTGACGGGCGTAGTGTGTCATGCACTCTCACATGGTGGAGGGACCATTACACAGAACACTTTACTGAGCGCGAAGCCCAAACCGGACAACAATTCGCTTCTTAAGCGGAAGTCAACGGAAGCGCATGAGGAGGAGGAAAAGCAGCAGCCACCTCCAGCCAAGCGAGCCGTTAAGGTTAGCTTGCCTAGCTCAGCGGGCCCGGTGCACGTACATTCTTCGCCGCGGTGGGAGGCTGGACTCCCAGAGTCCAGATCTCGAAGCCGGCGGAGGGCGAGGAGAAGACGTGGACCTGGACAAAATAGAAGCGAGGACGTGGCTAGTACTTCGAGAGCCCGGGTGCACGAACAGCGCCCAATGCCATTGAGACAGCTTAATACGGCAGATGAGGCTCGCGCTAGACCGAATAAGGCAGGCAACCTATCTCCGTCGCCGCCACAGGCGGTGCCGAGGCCTGGGCAGCCGCCATGTGTCTTTTGCTCAGCAAAAAGTCACTATTCGGCAGAGTGCGACGTTTACATACACCTAAGTGAGAGGGCAGATATTCTTGTCGAACAGTCGATTTGCACTATTTGCCTCAAAAAGCACTACGGTGAATGTATTCGTGCCGACGGATGCGGACGATGCAGAGAACTTTCACACCATCAGGCAATCTGCTTCAGGAACCCATTCGTCGTCAACGATATTACGTCTAGGGCTCAGCGATTCTACAGCGATGTCGCAGATGCGACGTACATCAGTCCACCTGCGAATTGTGAGCAGCGCCGACCGTATGAAAAGCCCAGGGAAAGGTCAAAGTCCGCGAGACCTATCCTTTGGGAACCGGCGCAGGATACTACGTTTTCAGGCCACCGCGGACCTTCACTTGCAAAAAGCAAGCGTTGAGGCCCATGGCCGAGTAATACGTCGATCACCACTACTACGGTTTGAACGGTCGACCCCTTATTTACGTCATCGCAGGTAAGTTTCCGCAGGTAAGTTATAACCCATCGGATTCTTATGTCTGTGTATTATTTCGCTAGTAGAGCATGCCTGAGAGGTATGCACCCCCCTTTATCGTCCTTTCTATAATATTCAGTGTTCAGGTAGTTAGCGATCCCTTCCGTGAGCGAGGAGAGACTGATCGGACGAGATCGAGACGATGATGGGCAAGAGAGGCAAGCAGTTCGAGATGCGATGGTCAAGGATCGAGTTCGTCAGCATTATTATATCAGTGGCGTGGTCGAGGACAACGACATCGTGGTCATTCGCGACGAGTTGTATTGGCTCACGTCTGGTGTGGCGATGGAAGAGTTGGCTGGTGCGAAGGATCGGTCAGAAGGAGTTGACGTTAAAGCAAGCGACGAGTTACGACGACATCTGTTCGAGATGTTCTTCTTCTAGAGTGGCCCTTACGGCGCTCTTATTTCTTTCTCTTTGGAGTCGCCCTTAAGGCACTCCTTGCAATGTAGTTCTTTTTTGAGTGGCCCTTAAGGCGCTCATGATGTTGTCTGTATCTCGTTGTGGGGGTATCTATTGCGTGTAGTCATTTACCTTATTGTATATTGTCATTTATGCTGTTCCTTTTTGGATCGCCCTTAAGGCGTTCCTTTGTTTCTCGTACACTCTTAAAGTGTGCATATGTCGGTTTTTTATTGCTGTGAAGTTGTTCTCGGGTAGCCCCTAAGGCGCCCATTTATGTCGGTATTTTACTAGTTCGTGTAGTGGGTCGCCTATAGGTAGGGTAGTTGTGAGGGCGGAGTTCTAGCCGTTGTCTTATTGACTTAATTCTAAGTGGCCTCAAATCATGGGTGTCCGGTGTTCTTTCTTCCCGGTGAGGGCACCGCAGTCCTGCACCCCCCGGTGGCGACTTCGCTGTCTCGGGAGTGTCGCGGATGCGACGGTGCCGCCGGGCGCACCGCGCGCCCCGGCCCATCCGCGCTCGGAGGCTAACCGCGCATTGCGCAGCGCATTGCGCCGTTGGCACGCCCCCTACGGTCGAGGCCAGTAGTCAGTCCTCTGCGTCTGTGACTGGCAGCCGGTGACTGGTCTGTCTTCACAGGGTAACGCGAGGAGGTTGCTCCAGGGCGAGGGGGGAACGTCTCCCTCCGAGCCTCAGGGTGACGGAGCGCCCGTCGCTAGCCGGCCAGAAAAAATCGCGAACCTAAATGCGGACGACGCATGAGTCTTGAACTTCTGCGTATCCACGTCAGACACTGTATAAAGTACCTGATGATGAGCGATTGAGCTTACGGAAAATACCAAATATTTGAACTAGTTTATATATAACACAGCGAATAAACGTTGAGAGACGCGGTCGTAAATTTGCTTGCGTAGGAATTTGAGCACATAGGTAGTAATACGAACCAGTTTTGAGTAGTTGTTCGTTACCGAGAATGGTAACACCGAAACAAACTCACGCTGATGGATTGTATGCACATTTTGGTATTCTGACTGCATATCTTGACAACCTGACGGTGGAATTTGGAAGTCGACATACGCATTGGGCCATTGAGTTGATGGACTACGCAGAAGTTGAGGTCCAGTCCACAGATGTGATTTTCAGCTTCCTTCGTTGCCAGACCGCGAGTAGCACAGTCGGCAGGATTGTCCTCGGAAGCAACGTAGTGGAAAACGTAGTTGAGAACTAATAACAATGAGTGCCCCCTGCGCCCCCATTGATTCCCTACAACCAAAGAACAAAGAAAACGAATGGCTCTCAACACGCACAATATATATAAGAACAAAAACAAATTAGAGTATAATTGGGGAAAATAAGATAAATAAACAATGAAATAAAGAGAGTTGAGAAGAAACCATGACAATAGCGAACGAGGCATATTACAAACGCATATATATATACTTAAGAGTAACCAGACACTGCGCACATACACATACATCTAGATTAGAGCTGCGACGAAGCTCAGAAAGGAGACAAGAGTACGCAAATTGTATAGGATATGGTTAATAGAGACGAGAGCAACGATATTTAAAAGTGATAAGAATTAAATCTAGCCATAATCAGTTGGAATATGTCTTGGTAGCCAAACGACAAACCAAATAAGCGCAACACGCGTATATACGCTGGGATGCGTCTCCAAAAACACATAGCTCTAAGCTACCAGATTTTGAATTTGACGGCATAACTGAACGCGGTACAGGTGGTAACGGATGTTTAAGTTCAGCCATAAGCTGATTCCACTGATCTAACTGCGATTTGTCCATGGGGGTGTCCCAGCCC